CCACTCACTACTGCATGACAAGGACAAAGTATTTAACATTTCTGTGACTTTTTTTCATCCATAAAATGGGCATCTTAATTTTATCTACCTTACAAGCATCACAAGGATTACTGAAAGAATATATTCATATTAAGAACATTGCTTAGCATATAAAAAGTCTTATATACAGTTTAACTAGATTAACTATGACCATTGTTGCAAGTTGATCAAATAAATATTCTCATACAAACCTGTTAAGTGTAAACAGAGGCTCTTGTGATTAACACAGGAGTCATTTAGGCACAGATATTCACAGATGACTAACACAACCCAAATTCACTGAAAAATATTTCTGAGTTCATAACACATTTTCTCAATCAACTGGTGGTTAAAGATATAACTAATGCCATATGGGAGGCTGGGACCCTTTTTAACAATAAAAAAGGGGGCCCTCGTATTCAAAGGGTACAAAACCATTGGTTTGCTCATTTGTTTCTTTATTTTACCCTCACAGAGAATTGAACCTTAGAGAAGGCATGTAACATACCCAGGGCCACCCAGTGTGCTGTTCAGGACTGGAGTTCAACCTGAGTCCCTGTCCTGGGCACTCTACCATGCAGCTTTTCAGGCTCCCTTCTGAGACACACTGGAGGTCGAATCATCCTTTAAAAATTAATTTTATGACATTTGTTCATTTTTAATGAGCAATTAAAACCTTTACCTTTTCCTTAACAAAGAAGTTAAGAAATCGTTCATTCACTGAAAAATCTGTAAATTCAAATTGCCTGACCTTTGGGCATGGAGCTTCTCCCCTGTAAAAGGCAAAGAATACTTGTTTCCCTCTCCTCCAGGGAGCAAAGACAAGGTATGCCCAAGAAATGAGCACAGCCTAGAAAACAGTCCCAGGACAAGACGAATTATGGTGCTCCTCCCAGTCCTGATCAAACTAGGAAAGTGACCTCAGTAGTTAGATGACAATCTCCTCTCAATTATCTATCCCGTTGCAATACCTTAACACCATTCTCCACTCTCTCCTCCTCAAAGACAAGCCAACAAGGCTGGCACCCAGGAGTTGGGGTAACAGGCACAGTCTCTGGTCAAAGGGACATAACACAGCTTAGACAGTTTCATGGCATAGACTCATTCATTTCCATGACATTCCCTGTAATTCGTCCTCTTCCGCCACTCCTTAGACCAGCTGGAGCAGCTAATATTTCCTAGGTGATCAATTTCACAGAATGAGGGAGCACACAGCAAGGGCCATAAATGCATAATGAGCCTTTATGGACAATTCTGGCTTTTCACAATCTGACCAATAAACCCTGCTCTTTCACCTTTAAGGACATGATGTAAGCCCTTGAATCTGGAAATAACACTCTTAAAAGTCAGAAAAGACCCTCTGACTACAGAGTATCCATTATTCAGCACCCCTTAGTATGCATGAGTGAAAACCAGAGGCTCTTAACAGAGGCTTCCCCAGGACTCAATAGGCAAATTAGCAACTCCTCCTACCAAGAGCATCCCTTATCTCTAGCTCCACCCCTTCCTGTCTTTTGTCAGTTGCTGGGAGAGGAAAAACAGTCAACATAAACTCAGCAGCAATTTTGGCCAGGGTGTGGATTCTCTGAAGGCTTCCCTTGAAAGCAACTAGAGGAAATAAGAAATTGACACGGCAGGGACTCAAGGAGATAGACAACTGTAGATCTGACAGAGAAAAAAATCTCAGGGGACAACTGCAAATGTGTATCTAGATAAGTAGGGAGTCCAAGGTAGAGGCTTAAATGAAAAACTGGGAAAAGGAAGAAAGAAAGTTTTATCCATCCAAATTTGGATATCTGGGTTGAAAATTTATCACAAAAGCACAGATGAAATACTGAGGAATAAAAGCAGCTATTCACACACATACAAATGTATTCTGTTTGTTTCTGTTCTGAAACTAGCAAAAAACAGGGAGGCAGGTTAGTGAGCTGCTGAGGTTTATGTTTTTTTTCAACTGGTGGAAAATTGCTTTACAATGTTGTACTGGTTTCTACCATACAATATCACGAATCAGTCATAAATATATATAAATCCTCTCCCTCCGAAGCCTCCCTCCCCACCCTCTGGGTCATATTTTACACACTATCATTTGTAAAACAGTTAGTGGGAAGTTGCTATATAACACAGGGAGCCCAACCTAGCACCCTGTAATGTTCTATATCTTGACTTGGGTAGTAACCCTATAGGTTATTTATAACCACTTGCTGTGCATTTTTAGTTTATGACTTTTTAATTTCACAATAAAAGTAAGTTAAAAAAAAAATTTCAAGTACCCAAGATACAGAGTTATATTCAGGAACTTTAGCAGTTTAACAAAAGGATGGAGCCAATACCAGAATAATTCATGCAAGAGAAAGCAAACATAGCTATTTAAATAAAAGGCACTCCTCTTCCAGCCTAATTTTATGGTTTGCTTTGGTGTGGAGACTCAAAGTCTGCATATACAAAACCAGAGCAAACTGTATCTGCCCCGATGATAAATGTAACACACCTGCCAACCAGAAGGTGTGTATAACTTTGTGGACACTCACACCTCAACACTGTTCACTGTTTACAGAGCAATCTCACATACCTTAACCCACAGCCAGTGGCCAGAGTTATCCCCATTGTGGAGATTTTTAAAAAAAAAGAGCCTCAGACAGGAGACTCCCTCCAGGTACAGCTCAAGTAAGAAGCAAAATCAAACCTACACCAGATTCCCCCACTGGGGACCCTTTATGACAATGACTTTCCCACGCTCAGGAAGTTCAGAGGCCCATGTTTTTTCCATGTGGAAATAATGAGGTGAATAAACGGGTAAATACTTGTCATCAAGAGGATGTCACCTCCTCTGAATAACCTTCACTTTCCAATCAAAGGACAGCCCAGGGTGTTATAAAGATTAGCTTTCCTCACTAAACCACAAACATCTTGGGAGTGGAGCTGTGCCTTCTCATTTCTGGAACTCTAGGGCTTTGCATAGTTTCTAGAATATGGGACATGCTCATGACACTGTGCTAATAAAAAATAAACATATAAGGGTACAGACTAATGAATTCACAGTACTGTGGTTTTCCACCCCATACCATCATTCCTGCACAGTGCCACTTGCTTTAAGCCTTTTCAAAACAGCTAAAATGATAGGCAGTAACTGTCCTTTCAGCAGATGACCAGTAAAATCTCTCTTCCCCTCCCCCCAAGAGTTTTTAAAGTTTTTTGGTTTTCTTGTTTGTTTTAATCACCCCTACTCTGTTCTCCTGCTCTGTCTCCCATTCTTAACAGGAGCTGTATTCTCCAATTCTAAAGAAAAGGTTTCATGTGATACATAAATCCAGAAGCTGAGAGGGCTGACAGGTTAATTATAGACACAAAGAGTGGGGACAAATGGACTATGAGGTAAGCGAGTCTAAATGTCTCTTCCCTGGATAAGCATTTATTACTAAGCCTGCAAAGATTTACTGGGCACAGCCAGGTTCAGCTCGGTGCCAAGCTTGGGCACAGGGGTCCAGATTTGGGAAAGGCAGTTTCTGCACTTGAGGAATCTGGCTGGTGCCTGGGAAGACAGCATGTACCTGTCAATACTCAAAGTGGCCCCCTGGGGACAAGAGGTGGAAGATAGGGAGGAGACAGCGCCTAAGAACTCCCACCTTCTGGGAGTGGGATGGTTAAAGAAGACCTCATCAGTTCACTAGGGCCACCTGGAAGGAAATGTAGGTAGGACTATGGCTGGACAGAAGACCAAGAGGAGGCCCTGATTCTTTTTCTCCTCTACCTCCCATATTCTTTCCAGGGCTGGAAGCAGGGACTTAAGTCAGAAGGACCTGTAGGTCTTCCCCCTCCCTCCCCAACCTCCCCCTCTAAAAAAGAATGTTCAGATGACTGGAAAGGCAGGTCTAGGGTCACCTTCAGCAAGCAGATGAACCCAAGAATGGAATGAGAGGCCTAGCAAAGAGTGATACCAGAATGCTTTTGGCTCCCCTTTTAAATTCAATCCAAAAAATTTCTGGGCCAACTTCCAGGTGGCACATTGAATGTGGCACCTCTCATTGGGACATCAAGCTTGCCTTTAGCCCAGACTAGATGACCAAAGCCTGGGCTTCCAAACGCTAAGTCTGGATCTCCCTCGGGTTTCCACTTTATTGGGGATGATGGATCTGGTCGTCTCCAGTTGAACCGGGGCCCTTCCAAATAGATGAGGGCTCTCAGAATTTTTCAAGCACCACTACCCCCGGACATACACATAAGGTAGGAACCTCATCGCACCCCTGCCTGTTTATGACCGATCGGTTGATAATCCCGAAATGCCAGGCGAAATATGTCACAGCCATCTCCCGCGAGGGAGTGGACTATCCAAGAGGGTTTATTCGGGTTGGTTTGTTTCCAAAATCCCGCCATTTCTTCAAAAGACATTAGAGAGGTAAAACCTGGCCATGAATGAAGTCCAATGAGTTAAGACTTCGACTGCTGTTAATTTCACTCGTCCCCCGCGGGCACTCCCCCACCACCCCCCAACCTGGCCTAGTAAACCTCCCCGACACTCCACCTCAGTTTCCAGGTAATTCCTGCTATTTACCAAACTGCTTTCGGCCGCTTTACGGTGTGGTTAGAACAGGGGAGTGCTATCTCTCAGCGAGCGGGATCTGCGGGTACCCTGAGCCCCTCGCCCGCTGACAAAGCGTGTCCACACGGCCGCCACGCCGGGGCGAAGGAACGAAAACTGCCCCCCGCTGTCCTGAGGACGCGGTAAGTGGATGCTCCGCAGCTCCTGGCTCGCCTGCGAGCTGGGCGTCTGGCAAGGGCGGCGGGCCCGAGACGTGCGGAAAGCGCTCCGCGCACCTGGCGCACCTGGACGCGCCCGGAGATCCCAGCTCCGTCCCGGGCTCAGGAAACCACCGTCTCCGACCCCGCCCACGGGGCTCCGGCCGCCCCAGGTCCCCTCCAGAGCACGCCACTCCCCAGCCCGGGATGGCTCCGCTCCCCGCGGGTCCCAGGGCTCCCCTTACCCGGGAAATGGCGAGAGGCTGCTCGAAGTCCTTGCCCCCCACGAGGCGGAAGCCCCAGGGTCCCGGGCCCTGCAGGACTATTTGCTGGGTGGTCATGGCGCGGCGACGGCGGGTGGCGACCCGAGAGGACAGACGGGGCAGGACGCTGAGCGGCGAGCTGGGCTCCCTGGCAGCTGTCGGAGAAAGAGCGCGCGGCGCGGGCTGGTGGAGCCTGCGGCAGGAGGGAGCTGGGCGGGAGGAGGGCGGGGGCGGCTCCGCCCAGGCCGCGTCGCTGCCGCCCGCCCCTCCCGTCCTCCCGCCTGCGACCCGCAGCCGCCCCCAGTTCCGTGCAGCCGCCCCCAGTTCCGTGCACCCGCAAGCTGCCCAGGCAGAGAGTCTGGTCGCGAGAGCTGGGGGTCAGCTCAGGGTCTAGGGATCTAAACAGCCCCGCCCCGGGCGCAGCCCGGCGGAGCTCCCAGCCCCACCGCGGGCTCTAGGTGAGAGGCGGGCAGGTTCCGGCGACCGCGGAGGAGTCTACGCTTGAAAACCAGTTTGAAAGTGCTTTGCAAAGTCACCCGTTTGAGGTCAGGTCCGTTTTCACATTTGCTTTCCTGTAAACGACAGTGATGTTTTAAAGATGCTGTCCAGTGATCTCGCTAGAAAATGTGAAGCAGTCAGGGCATTTATAGCTCCATTTTACAGATAAATTAGCTGGGTCGGCCTGAGATTAGAAGACTTGCCCGAAGCCACGCAGCTGACAGTGGTGTAACTGGACAGTCGCGCAGGCTCCCCTTGCTAAAGAGCCCCACACTGGAACTCTTTTAATGCTAATGAGACCATCGCGTGAGTTTGTAAGGGAACTTCAAAACTTCCCTAGAAACCTCTCCTCCAGACTGGACTCGCCTTAGGTTCTGACCTTCCCAACAATTCAGACCTAACTGAGGCAGACCAGCTGCGTGTAGAGGTAACCGGGTTGAGTCCAAACACCTGGGTTCGCAGCGCGCCGCTATCCTCCTCAGTGGGCTCTGCCCCCTCGCCCTGGAGTACGTTCGCCACGCCAGATCGCACCACGTCTCCTTGTCCACTTACTCTTGAGTGAAGCGGAATGCCTAAGATGCTTGTAGGGCCACCCACGGAATGGCCCCAGCTCCCTCTCTGATCTCATCCCCTTGTGCCGCTCTCAGCCCACACTGGCCTGTCTGTCGCTCCAGCCTCAAGGCCCTGCATCAGGGCTCCTGGAATGCTTTGCTCCAGACATCCTAAGGCTCGCCCTTTGTACCGATGTCATGGTCTTGGTCCGGTCATATCCGAGAGACCTATTTAAAACTTCCTCTCTAGAACCCCGAGTCACCTTCCTCTGCTTTTATTTTCCCATTATGCTTATCATCATCTGACAAAATCAGTATTTCACTAATTTGTACCCGGCCCCCACCCCTAATGTTTAGTTCCCCAGGGGTAGGGGTTCTTATCTGTTTGGATCACTGCTGTATCCCAGAGCCTAAGAATAGTGCCTAGTACGTAGTATTTAATGAAGGCAATACACTGGCCAACATTATGACCTTTGAATCTCAGGTTCTTCATAGTTTTCTTGGCTCCAATTCATACTGCCACCTGAGCCCTAGTGTTCTGTCTCCTCGTGATACTGGCCTACCTACCGAGATGCCCTGTGCAGAGATTTACACATATAGGGATCATCTTACTTGTCTAATGGTGTCACAGGACAAGTGACTGGTTTGGGAATGGTTTGCTTGAATTTAGAAATAAAATGGATTTATGTCATCTATCCATCCCTCTCATTTTGCATCCTGATATTCTTTTTAATTGAGTATAGTTGATTTACAATGTGTTAGTTTCAGGTAAGTAGCAAAATGATTCAGACATATGTTCTTTTTCAAATCCTTTTCGAAGTTATAACAAAATAATGAACATAGTTCCCTGTGCTATACAGTAGGTCTTTGTTGTTTATCTGTCTTATATATAAAGCAGTGTGTATCTATTAATCCCAAACTCCTAATTTATCCCTTCTACCCACTCCCCATCCTGATATTCTTGAATGTGAGAAAAAAAGAATGGTGTTACCACCAGGAGCCAGCTACCTGATCCATTAAAGCCAAAAATTATCTTTTTTTTTACAAAGATGAATATTTTTAATAATAAAAGGTACAATTCCCAAAGAATATAGATGTTATAAACCATTAGACACCTAACAACAAAGAAAGATACATAAAGCAAAAATCAGAAGAAATATAAAGGAGAAAAAACATATAATCATTGTGAGACATACTAACATTTCTCTGAGAGTATTTTATCAAGTGCAGAAAAAATAAAAATGGGAGCATCTTGAATGATGTTATTAATAATTTAAGTCTAATAAATTAATATTTACATCAACTTTTATTAATCTCATATCCTACACAAATATATTTAAATTTTTGTATCTCATACATTGTTATTAGATAAAATTATACCATCTTTGATTAAGATTCTCCTGATTTAAAAACATGCTTGTGTTTCAAGTCCCTGCAGAATTTGGGAGACTCACCAAAGTCTGGGTCTGCCCTAAAATGGGGAGCAGTTTTGAATATTTTGTGTCCTAGGAAGAGAAAAAGGTTGAAGAGCCACAGCTCCTGTACTCGCAAAGGTGGGAACTGCCTCTCATTTATCCCTAGGTGTCCTGCTGGGGACGTATACATCTGCTGGGACCTGATACACCGTGGGTGCCAACAGTTCCTATTCTATACAGTATTCTTTTCGGCTATAGGGCGCTAGTACATAGGTTACATCATTTAGTTTTTAAACATTGTCAGTTGTAGTCTGACTCTACACAGCAAGAGCTAAAAACAGTCAACACCCTGACCAGGTCGTTCCCTTTCTGGGCACTGATTCCAGGATATAATTTAAAAGAAGAAGAAAAAGCTATATGTACAAAGATATTTATAGCTGCATTATTTATAATGACCAAAAAAAAAACGAGTTAAGCAGCCACAGAAAAGTGGCTAAATATGGTATGGCCATGTGAGGGAGTAGTACACAGCCTAAAAATGATAATCATGAAGTCTATGAGAAGGCATGGAAATGTGTTTTCAAGATTATATAAAAAAGAATGAAACAAAATTATCTCTAAAACCAAGTATTATTTGTAAACAAAATTATTTATAGAGTTTATAGATAAAAAATAAAAATTATGTTTACCTACTGCCAAAAATTAGGAGACAGTACAAAAACTTTGAGAGATGCAATTGGAGAAAAAATTCAATCCAAGAATTTCTTCTAACAATGATGTAAAGTTTTCAAAATAAAAATCAATTAAATAGCCTCAGCTCCTTGGATGGAGACTAAATTCTAATCTTTCTCTTGGGGTGGGGGGGGGGCCCTCATCTTCTATCTTTTTGATCTCCTTCCCCCTGCTCCTGTAAACTAGCTCTGAGTTGGGCACACAGCCTCTATTCAGAAAATGCCCAGTGATGGATTGACAACTCTGACCCCCAAAGACAAGCAACCTTGTTTTATCTTAAAACCATTACTTATTAATTCAAACTCTACAGTTCCCTCAGACCCTGACTCCTGCAGAGTACTAGTTGAAAGGTCTTAACCTCTCTGAACTTCAGTTACCTGGTTTATTATAATTATAATGAATTCCATGGAAGTTTTTTGACCTAAACAGCCTACATTAAAATACCTGTGCATGAGGGGGTGCAGGTAGGGTAGAGAGGATGCTGAAGAAATGGAAGCAAGGACAGGAAAAGGACAGAGGAGCAGTGATCTAGGAAGTCAGGGAATAGTGGGCCTTTCCAACTGTTCAGTTTACAAGTGGTCAGGACAGGGCGGGTGGCGTCTGCTGGGGGATTCCCCAGCCGACAGGCCCGCCCCCCTTTTGGCTTCTGCAGAGCTATCTACTCCCACACCCAGGGTGCAATTGCCAGGGTCATTCAGAACCACTGCTTCCCGGAATAGCAGCCTCATTCCTTTGTTTAATTAACTTAATTATTTTTTAATGTATTTATTTATGTTTGTCTGTGACGGTCTTGTGAGACTAGGGCTGAGCTAGGCGTTACAGACGGTCTTATTTAATTTCCAGGGCAAGTCCTGGACTAGCCCAGGGGACTGCAGAGCTCCCATTCCTGGAGATCGTGGCCATGACCCCTCCTCTGGGACTCAAGAGGAGGCGTAAGTGACTCCCCGATTCCAAGCCTACCCTGGGATCTGAGGCGGCTCTGTACAGAGACTAGAGAGCCGGAAGCTCTTATCTAGCCGCCTGGGGCGGAGCCGTGGCGCGCAGCTGCACCCCCAGCCCCAAACCACTGCCACTGCCCCGGGGCACCCTGATCTAAAGACATCAGGGCAACTTTTTTCTTCCCTCGCTGAAAAGAACTGAAACACTGAAACCCAAGCTCAGAAGTTCGCAAAACAAAGACATCTTTTCCCGCCGGTCCTATCCCGCTTGTCTGGCCCCCCAACTCGCGACCTCACTCCCAGGGTCAGCGTCCTGTACTCAGTACAGTGTACTGGGATCCATGCGCCCCTCCAGTACCGCCGACCCGGGGGAGTTGCCCTCCGCTGCGCCGGGGACTGGGCAAGAAATTCAGCTCCCAATTCTTTCCTTTCTCCGGTTTTTTCGTTCAGTCTGGGGGTGGGGGTGGGGAGGTGGAATCCTGAAGTGGCCGTTAGGGATTGGGCGCCTCTGGGATTCCTGTCGACAAAGAGCATGCTCCAGGGAGCGGGGAGCGTGGGGTCCTAAGAACACCTGGACATCGGAACTGGCTCAAGTCCTCTCCTGGCTGATAAAGGTGTGGGCACATGTAAGGCCTGCCGTGTGCCTAGCAGACAAGCAGGTATTTTGTCCACCTGTCTCCTGGCTCCCTGGACATGTGGCACAAAAATCTTCAAATCATCAAAGAGGCCGGACTACTACCATTTCTCAAGCATTCCTGAATGTTCAAAGAAGAGGGCTTCCCTGGTGGCCCAGTGGTTAAGAATGCAGCGGCCACTGCAGGGGAACATGGGTTTGATCCCTGGCCTGGGAAGATCTCACATGTGGCAAGGCGACTAAACCAATGAGCTGCAACTGCTGAGCCCACACACCTGAGAGTCCCTTCTCCAAAACAAGAGAAACCACA